CGGGATAATATTATGGAGTTATCAGAAGTGTTTACATGGAGACTCAGTGTTAATGATTCTAGAGTTAGACTAGATCCTGACACTCAATTAGTAAGACTTGACAATCGAGATGGTAAGTCATTTGTCACAATATGAGATAACTTGTTTGTTTTCTAGTTTTCAGTATTGGGTTTAGAGAACTATATGTTACTATAAGAGAAGGAGAAGTTGCCTCATTAACTATAAAGCAGATAGGAGATGAGACTGGTGGTCTAGACATTGGAGGCTTTCCAGAGAATCGTTTGAGTCAAATTCGATTGAGATACGTATCTGGGACTGCTACAATTGGTTAGTATTAGCACAATGTGTTGGTTTTAATATTAATAATTACAGATAGTGATTTCTCTCTTAATACTACTGTGCCAAGATTGACCTACAGAGCCAATAATACACTGAATGATGTTCCATTTCAGCCTATCACTAGTATTGATGATAATATCATTGAGGGAGATGAAACAATAAGAGTCATCATATTACCTGGTGGTGATAACGTTGTACAAATATTGAGAGACTGGCAGACAGCTACTATCACCATTATTGATGATGACTGTAAGTTATACATAGTAATTGAGAAAAGACATGACAATATTTATTTTTTCATTGCATAGCTGGTGTGCTGTCATTAGAAAGAGCAACATATGATGTAATTGAGAATGAAGGAACTGTAGAAATATGTGCTGTACTAACTGGAGGAGCATTATCTGAAAATACAACAATAGACATAAGACCTAGAGATGGCACTGCACAATTCAGGAGTAAATTTTAATATTACTATTAGATCTAATTACAGATTGTTTTCTTTTAACTATTAGGTGACTATAGTACTCGTAGAATTCGTTCAATATTACCTGCATTTACAAACAGGACATGTGGTAGATTTGATATTATCAATGATACCATTAGAGAGCCACTGTCTGAGAACTTCACCATAGCAATAAGTAATATTTTTCCAGAAAATAGTGAATTAATGATAAACCCGACTCCATCATTCATCAGAATACAAGATGATGATCGTTAGTATAATCATTTATAAAACTTTGTGTTTATTATTTACCTTGCAGAGGCTGAAGTAAGGTTTGCTATGGGTCAAGCTACATTCTCTGAAGGAGGAGGAAATCAATCAATCACTGTCATACTAGATGGAGCACAATTGACTCAAGCACAAACCATGGAAATTTACATTGATGATGGAACTAGCAGTATGTTTATAATATATATTACATTATATATCATTTGTATAATGAAATAGATGGAATATCACTTGGTAATATCACATTCGGTACTAATGTTATAACACAGAATAGGAGCATCAGTTTTCCAGTAGTTGATAATAGCATTGCACTGGAACCTGATAAACATTATCTACTAAGATTAAGGAACATTGGTAATATAGGTTTAGGTAACCCAGGAACAATGAATGTGACTGTAGTGGATGATGATGGTAAGTAGAGAGATTGATGAACATTGTGCAAATGGTTTGTTTTCTAGATGTTACTGTGAGTTTTGCGCAATCATCTTACAGTTATAGTGAAAGTCATGGAACTGTTAGTAATATTCAGGTCCAACTAAACAATCCGATTGCTCAAGATCTGTCTGTCAACATTGGAGGAGGTGAGATGAATCAATATTGTAGCTTATTGAATTACTTAGCAATATTTAATATC